GTAATACCTGACCTCAAGAATTTTTAAAGTATCATTTATAGCATGTACTATTATTGCCTTGTGATGATGATTTATACGCTAGTTCTGAACTGTTCTATATCAAACCAGGATAGCAGTTTGTGGCTCTTTGAAAGTAATATCAATATAGGTTGTTTATAATTCAACGACTTCTGGCTTTTAGAGTTAGTCTAAAACAGACTAACAACAGTTAAAGATCTGAATAAGAAAATAAGCCATGACTGGCATCATCATTATGAGTGGTAAGCTAAAAAAACTTAAAGAATTGTTTCTCAACTGTTCGTAAATAAGCCACGTACAGATCGCACGTGACATAGTGGTTAACGAAACAGAACTGTGAATCCAAGGATTTATTATTCGTGGCCCGTTGCCGCAAAAAAACACGATCTGCACTTTGGGGTCATGTGTGCGTTAGTTATAAAAGTGACAGTCATATACCACCATTCGATTAGTGTAGTGCAAGAGTTGGCGGTGGGTGGTGTTGACTAGCTGCTTATACTTAACCTATTAGTTCCAAATTAGGGATGAAGACAATGTGCACATAGACTTTGTATAGCTTTACGAGGAAGTTCTAAAACAGATTTTTGTAATATTTTGTTTTATCGAGATAACAAGAAATACCGAAAAAGTAAGGGTTTTACAAGTAGAGATTACCAGCTAGCACATTTTTTAATGTATCTGCTTTTTTTCTGAATACTTTAAGTTTTAGTTATCCAACTATTCACATTTTTTACACAGTCAATCGTTGCGTTTTTTTTTTTTGGCTGTAATTATCTGAGAGGTGGACATAAACAGTAAAGCAGGGTCCAAAACTTGGGGCTGCTGACCTCCGAGGAAATGTATTGGGAGCTATAGTAAATACACAAGATACACAGTATTGTTAATATGCCCAGTATTTATTCAGTAATTTGGTGGGGGGGGGGGCTCATACTGCATGCGAAATGTTTGGGGGGAGGGTGGGTTGTGCTGAGAAAGTTTGGGAACCCCTACAGTAAAGCACTAATTCAAACATACTTAGTTTTGGGTTTATTTTGGGATATTTTCAGAATGATTTGAATTAAACGATAAACAAACCTAAGTACATATTTGTATACTGAAATCAAGCATAGTATTTCTTAACATTGGATCTCAGAATACACGCAGTTTAAAAATAATTTGTTGGACGTAGAATTCATATAACTGAGATTTGAAGAGTCCTTTCTTTTTAAATTAGGTAGCAGACACGTTAAAGAAGCCAGATAAGGGAGAAGTGAACGTTCGAATATTTTACAATTTTTTAACAAGCGTGGAAACCAACAGCACATTCAAACTGAGTGGTCCAAAAGATTACGAGATACCAATTCAGAAAGTCACTACTTTAGACAACACATCTATAACAGTCCTTGGAAGTACAGAATATACTAGGGTACTACCTGGGGTGTAAGTATATTTTCCATTGAAATTCAATAAGTACATATTAAAATGTTTTATTATTTATTGAACCCAGGGCACCGAGAGGGCGGGGAGGCCGGGGAAATTCCCTTGTGTTCCATGAAAGCTCTTGGCGGCTTTGCATGATTTACAGCATGACAACTAATTGTATGAACTGGTACTCATGTGATTAGTTAATACTTGCTCATCTCATGTCACACCATTAAAACAATTCTATATTTGAAAGGTATAGGTTCTCTGTTAGATAATGTGTTAAATTAATTCATTAGCACTAGAATATATAATATGTTTGTATAAATATGTTTTATTAACTAAAATTGAAATAACAACATCTTATTCAGTATTAATTGCAGATGGTATAGCAATATTTGTACACTATTTACAGGTACTCACTAAGTCTGCTAAATTCCAATTCCTCAGGCTTTAGTGTAAAATTGCCAGATTTTCAGGTGAAGATGGGAGGAGGTTACATTTTTACGATCGCACCTAACCACAAATCCGAGGTAAGCTGAACGAGTTAACTCTAAGATTAATAAAAACCTGAAAGAATGAAAGCATAAACATTATTTTTATCAGAGAATTACTCTACTTATTAGCTGAAATGAAACACTGTTAGAAAATAGTGTTACCATGACACTACTGATGCTCGTTATAAAACAGATTTCTCAAAATATACAACTTGTATCTATATTGACTATTACATGAAGTACAATAACCAGTATTTTTGTGTTTTAAAACCAGGCACGTAATAATGAAGAATGGGAATTAAGACCCATAGTAAATCGAAAATGATAATCTTAAATAATGAAGAATGGGAATTAAGACCCAGAGTAAATCCAAAATTATCTTAAACAGAGTTCTTCAAAATCGCTCAATCTAAAGACCACAGTTAATTACTTGAATAATCTAGAACAGTGTTTATATTCAATGCAAAGGTTTATTAAATTTAGTAAGTTTTCAAAGAGTTTTTTCCTTCTAACTTGTTGATTATTTTATCAATGAGGCTTTTTCTCTTTGTTTGTTGACAGTATTCCCTGTTAGAGAGTTTCTCATAATTTGTTGATCATATTCTCAATGGGAAAATTAGTATTGTTTTCTCCCGGTTTGTTGACTAGTCTCAATAGAAGAGTTAGTTATTGATGTTTCTCCTAGCTTGTTGATTATATTCTAAATAGGAGAGTTACTTCTTGATGTTTCTCCTAGATTGTTGGTTATATTCCAAATATGAGAGTTACTTCTTGGTGTTTCTCCTAGATCGTTGATTATATTCCAAATAGGAGAGTTAGTTATTGGTGTTTCTCTTAGATTGTTGGTTATATTATTAATAGGAGATTAAATTTAGTTTTTCCCCTAATTTGATTATATTCCAAATAGGAGAGTTAATTATTGGTGTTTCTCTTCGATTGTTGGTTATATTATTAATAGGAGAGTTAGTTTTTGGAGTTTCTCCTAGCTTGTTGATTATATTTGAAATAGGAGAGTTAATTATTGGTGTTTCTCTTCGATTGTTGGTTATATTATTAATAGGAGATTACATTTAGTTTTTTCCCCTAACTTGATTATATTCTCCATAGGAGAGCTAGTTTTTTTGTTTTATTTTAGCTTTTTTATCAGTATCAGAATAGCAGAGTTAGTTTTTTGGATTTTACATTTTTAATTTATTTTAAAACTGATACATATTCACAAAATTAATTTCATAGAAAAACACAAACAAATTTATATTAAATGTATTTATTTGAGGTTTTATTTATTTCATTAGACATGATGCTTTTAAGAATGTCTCTCGTGCTCTTTAAAAATAATTCTACTAAAAATTATATTTGTTGTTTATTATATTCTAAAACACATTGAGGATGAATCATATTTTTTTGCATACCTTTATACCAGCTGTCAACGAAGCTACACACAGTGGTAGAACCAAATGATGTCTCCATGTTCCTTCAGTTTCCTCAGTACATTATTATCACAGCAGGAGAAATTATGTTTTCCATCACTGGCCTTGAGTTTTCTTATTCTCAGGTAGGTTCCTCAGGACATTATTATTATTACAGCTGGGAAAATTGTTTTCAGTCACCAGTCTTGATATTTCTTATCCTCAGGTAAGTTCCTCTGGACATTATCATCACATCTGCAGAAATTGTTTTCAGTCACCAGTCTTGATATTTCATATTCTCAGGTAAGTTCCTCTGGACATTATCATCACATCTGCAGAAATTGTTTTCAGTCACCAGTTTTGATATTTCATATTCTCAGGTAAGTTCCTCTGGACATTATCATCACAGCTGGAGAAATTGTTTTCAGTCACCAGTTTTGATATTTCATATTCTCAGGTAAGTTCCTCTGGACATTATCATCACAGCTGGAGAAATTGTTTTCAGTCAC